CCCCCCCCCCCCGCCCCCCGCTGGAACCCTACAGACGTTGCCGCAAATCCGCAGACCCACACCCCCAAAACACTCTAAAACCGTATAAGCCCTATACCCCCAAGCCCTCAACCCGATGAGCCCTAGAGACCCTAGAAACACCCCCCACAGAGCCTCCGGATCGGGTGTGCATTGCAGACGCTGGCTCTCCATGGGTATGCCGTAAAGCTCGGAGATCTGATTCTTCACCTTGCAGCGACTCCCTGGAGCCCCGAACCAGAGTTCTCTCTATGGGGTAAGAAATGCAGAAATGTATACATAAACACATATTTATATGATATAAGGAAGGGGGGGGGTTGCTGCATGGCATGTGTGTGTGTGTGTGTATATATATATGTGTATACTACACAAATAGGGGATTCTATGGGTTATATAAGGGGAGCTTGGTAGAATAGGCGTTTTCTATCTATAAGCAGGTCAGTGGGAGCCAAGTAACACGGGTCTTTATAGATTACATAAGGGCTTCTTGGGCTTTCCATGGGGGCTCATTATGGCGGGGATTTATACCCATGAACAGCCTATGAAGTGCTTACCGTCTAGACAGGGCTTTAGGTATCGTAACCTACCAGAAGTTCGTGAAAACGTGGCCCCATCTACAAGGAACGGCTCTGACTTCAGATTCGCCGCGACATGAATGCATCCCCGAAGCTTTCAAAACTAATCATAGGTTTCCATTTGCATGCTAGTTCAGGGCCCGTGCTGGTTCATTTCAGCGTTCTGCTTCGGCTTCGGTGTTCAGTTCTGCATGCTGGTTCGGCTTGTATGTTGTGTTTGATTTGGATTCCGAAATTTCGCATATCAGGCCCAGAGGCTCAGGCATATGACCACTAGGGAATCATCTCATTAAAAAGACCGCATGAGGCAGGAGCATGTGTTGCGAGGCTGCCACAAACTGGGGGCTTTAGATTCGAGAGGCATCGCAGGAAGAAGACAGACAGCCTGCTGTTGGGCAATGTCAGCAGGGTAGTGCATCCACTTAGCTGTGCATGGCTGTCGTTCACGACGCTAAATATTGGCTCTGTACAGAGGGCCGTGGGGATTTGCTGTGTGGGAGCGATCCCGACATGGCTGGTCGAGTCCGCAGGAGAAGATTCGTGGGAATTTTGGATCATTCCAAAAGTTGATTGGTGATCGGCTAGTGTAGACTGGGTGGCCTTCATTTCGGAGCCCCGTCCCTGGTGTCAGGACGAACTCCACGAGATCCGTCGGTGCCGTTCCCGAAACGCCTTCGGAGCCGCCGGATGCTCGAGCCTTTCTCATGACCTCGGCCCAGGAGAAATTGAATTCTGCCATGAAAGGCCAGCCGGGGCTTGAGGTCTGTTGATCACCTCAGCCTGCCCCGTTTGCTATTCAGGTGATGGTGATCGCGAGCGCAAAAGAAGAAGGAAGGACGCCAAGAAGAAGCGAAGCTTTCACAGCATGTGGTTAATGGGATTTCTTGGTAGTCCTGCAACAGACATAGACAGAAGTACATCCGAGGCAAATCCACGTCTTCCGAGCCGGAGACAGAGTCGGAGGATGCCATTGCCGTGAAGCAGAGTGTTTTCTGTTTGGGGTTTCGCGAGCTCAACAGGAAGCAGCAGAACACTTTGGATGACTGGAGCACGAAGCAGATTGCCTACGCATTTGCATGCTCCAGCAAATTTATCATACCGGCGGAGCTGTACGATATTGGGGGCGAGCAGGACTGAACAGTGCAGCATGGTCGAGAGTTCATTTGTTGTTGCTTCCTTGTGGGGATGTGCTTCTTGATGCCAGGAAGCAGTTTTGCAATCTACCGTGGCTCGGTGCAAGAGGCTGAAGAATAAAGAAGGAGAAACTCTCCACATGCAGAAGGCCAGGATTCCTCAGATGTGAGGTTTGCAGAAGACCCATGTGAAAGCTGTGCTTCATTCATGTTGTTGGACTCATGACACAGATATGAGGCCGCTGCTGCTGGTGCGATTTGTCGCAAGAGATTGGCCAGTCTGATTTTGACGGGAGCCTTCTTTGCAGATTATGAGATATGTTTTGACCTCTTGCGGATTAGCCGCAGAATGGCAGAGGTATGCACCTGTAGTTGGCACCTCAAGTGTTCGATCATCTCAGTTACTGGGAAGAGCCTGACGAGCATCAAGTGCACGTCGGCCAAGACATTGGATGATGTGTCGATGCATTTGGTCAGTCTTATCAAGAGTTACCGGAGGCCGGGTGCCTCGAAGGGCCGAAGGGTATGCTAGACATCCGCAGTAGGATTCAATTGGTCCGAGGCAGAGCAACATGGAGACCGAAGACCTGGCGGCAGCCTACGACAAGCTGCTGAAGAAGTTTCAAGAGGACCGTGCATGATGTTGTCTCCATTACCACAGCTCTCCAGTGAATGCATGGCACCTCTTGTTGCAGCATACTTCTAGATTTGACTGTCGCCTCTGCTGGCTTTTCTCTAGGGAACAGATCGGGTAGCATTTGTTTGGCAGCTTGCAGCATTCATAGACAATGCTGCCGACAGCACCTTCGGGAGCACCGATGCCTTGGCCCTGGTGTGTGCCGCCACCGGGGTATGGATATCCTTTCATGCCTCCTTTCCCTCCTCTCCTTCCGCCTGTGCCACCTAGAGCAGAGGCTGCTGGAGCTGGTCTGGCGACAGGAGTAGGAGTGCCGGGGCCTTCTGCTGGTATGGGCTGCACAGCAGCTCCGGTTGCCACAGCAATGGGAATGGCTTCGGTGCCTGAGCCAGCAGGTCGCGGGGTTGGGCCGCCAGGACCAGACGCAGATGGGCCCAAGGGCAGGAAAGATAAGGACACTGGGGGGCCCAAAGCCTTGAGTCCATTGTCCTATCAATCGGCTGTGCTGCTGCACAGGCTTCCGATGTTTGGTGGCGGCGAGTACCAGATCTTCGCAAGGTACAGAGCCCCGAAGCCGCCACCCAGTCCTCCACGGACTGAGTCAGAGGAGGAAAAGGCCGATGACGATGATGATGCAGACGGTCCCCCTCCGCCACCACCGCCACCGTCTGATGGTCCCAAGCCGAAGACTCCGGTGCCGGCTGCAAGGCCCAAGCCGGAGGCTGCGAGGAAAGATTACCCGTCGGCGGAGGACGACCCGATCGAGTCTACTGCTCCAGAGCGCGGAGAACCATCGGTGGTGAGGGGCTTTTCCAGCAGCCCTGCACCCCGTGTCATTCCGCCTCCGGTGTCCAACAACTCGGTCGGTGTTCCTGAGCCGTCGGATCCTCCGTTTCTCAACTGTTCAAGTTTCTTCTTGGGTTTCTATTTCTTTATGGTTCTAGTCTGTCGTTATAGTCAATACTTGAACCATAAACCAAATCATCTCATCCGCTGTCCAAGGCCACCTGTGACCTCGGAGAGGGAGAAGAGCAAACGACAGCAGGAGTATGAGATTTACGGGGCAAAGAGGCAGCGAGGAGGGGCAAAAAAACGCCAGGACTACAGATGATCGCCAAGCCAACCGTGCCGACAGTGCCTGCTACCCGGGATGAGAAAAAGAGTCGAAGACCCACCGTTTGCGAATCAATCACTTCTGAAATGCATAGTGCCTTTAAGTTTTGGTCCTTGTGAAAAGTAGGCATGGCTGCAGGATGCTGCCAACGACCTCCAGCAGTTGGTGCAGAAGCCTGCGGAGCCGAACCTCTCCCGGGAGCGCAGCACGCCTGCCAGGCGACGTCTCTTTGACTCCCCAGCCCCATCCAGGAAGGAGCCGGAGGCGGCCACAGTCGCCTCGCCAGCCTCGGAAGAGGACTCACAAGGCGATGACGAAGATGACCGCGATGTTTTCAGTGGGAAGTTCGCCACTGCTTGGACTAAGCCCAGACCTTCGGAGGCCAAGGCCGCCGTGAGGCCCCTGAAGCAGTTGATGGATGATCCCAGCTTGCCCTCAGACGCCAAACCAGCCCGTGCAGAAGCACCAGTGCTCGCATTGAAGGATGGTCTTCGTGGTGAGGCCCTGGATGGCAGCGAAAGCGATGATGCAAATGGGGAGCCTCAAAAGGAACCCCTGCCACCGATGCAGCCGGAGGTGTTTCCGGGACTGCCATCTCTGGAAGATTCTCCAGATGTTGATCCCGATCTCATGAGCTTTGCTGTTCAGCTGTGCAAGCGACTGTGCTGAATTATTCGTGGTCCTATGTTCAACACCATTGCTTCGTAGAGTTGCTCGCTTCGAGTTCTAATGCCATAGACCAGATGACACATTTCCTTGATTCATTCGGAGGAAAGTCGCCTCAACATATGCCCTCTTGGTTTAGGTCACTATCCGGGGACGGGGGATGAATCAGGAAGCCAAGTCCTTGGATTACTGGGCTTCTGAGATCGGAGCCCACCGAGAGCCCGCAAACCGAAAAGCCTAAACCCTCAACCATATACCCTAAACCCTAAACCCTAAACTCTAAAGGCCATGTCTGTCTCTCTGTTGCTTGCCTAATGTCTATCTCTGTGTCGCTCTCTGTCTCTCTCTCTCTCTCTCTCTATCGCTCTCTCCGTCTCTTTTTCTGCTTCTCTCTCTCCCTCTCCCTCTCTCCCTCTCCCTCTCTTTCTCTCTCTCCTTCTCTCTCTCTCTCTATATATAT